GGTGTGCTTGGTTTCAACGTAACTTTATTCTTAGAGTGAAAGCTTTTCAATCATTCACACTAATTAGTGAACACTCTGGAACTGCTGGAATTCTCTCTTTTTTTTTTTTAATATAGAACCCTGTATAACTATTTCAAACATTAAATGTTGCCCTCACTGCAGACATGGGCCTCAAAGTGTTATGAAAATTACCAAGACAACTTTGGCAATGTTCACTGTGGAGTGTTTGTCTCTTCTGGAGTCAAACAGCTGCATCATATCACCTGCACCCTGAACAAACACTTCACTTCATTCTCCACAGACACGTTCCACCATCTGATCTGTGTCTCTGTAGAGGATAACGAGCCCAAACACACCCCAAAGCTTTGAAGTAGTAAAAAGATCAAAAAGGACCAAAGAATGTCCTTGACTGTCACCTGACCTCAACCCCATGCACAATTTAAAGGAGAGAGGGACAAGAATCTGTGACATCATAAAAAACTCTTCGGAGTACTAATCATGTGAACCCCACTGTCCTGTTACATGTCACCTTGTAGAAATGCGGGAAATGAACCAAAACTAAAATTCAAGCAAGATGTTGCCAAAGCACACTTTCAGAAACTATAATCAGCTTTAGTTTTACAAAGTAAACACCCAGGAAGAGAAAATATACTGCACTTAGAGGGAAATAACTCCAGCCCTGCATAATCAAACTTCATATAAATATGTTGTCATGTCTTTCGAAGAACTGAAACAAACTTAGTCTGAACAGAAATCCTTTTTTAAATATTTACTATCTTTGTGAGAGCAAAACTTAACTGATCTACTGAACCCTCCATCATCACTGGCTTAAATATTTAAGCTTAAGAGAAGGCCCAGATATGTGCACGTGATAAACAATACAACAGAATGTAGGCAGGTACAACAACACATTCAATTGGAGTATTTATTTCACATTTAAAAAACAAAAAACAAACCCTCGGTAAAAAAAACATTTTACCGAGGGTTTGGCGGCACACGGTCAATCATAGAAGCATCCAAAAGGCGTACAAAGTCTGCCTCAACTCTCTACTTTGGCCACCTTGGGTGCCTGTCCCTCCTGCTCCTTTGTGACCACCTCGCCCCTCCTCTTCCTTAGACCCTTCATCTTCCGTGTCTGCAGCTTGGACAGATCCTGTTTCTGCATGTGCACACGGCCAAACTTGGTGCCAAAGGCATCATGGGAAATGTTCTTCTTCTTCTTGGGCTGAAGTAGTGTAAAAGAGAAGACGAGTTAAAACAAACTTTAGCATGTTTGAACACTGGCTGCACAGAGTATTTAGTATCTGTGCAGGATTTTGGCAACCATGTGGTCTTTCCTCTGGCGCCATCTTCAGGACAAACACTGAATATTTGGAATCATCCATACGAGAACAGAAAAGCAACATCTCTATATTTTTTAAACCAGGACACCATTTCATTTGTAACACAAGGAGCTTCAAAGATTGAATAATAAGGCTGAAAGGGGCTTTGCTCATATGGAAATGTATATGAATAGAGTAGAAAAAGAACGAGTCAATAACAACATGCCCAAAGGACAAATCCACTGAGAAGTCAAGGAAGCTAGCAAACAGTCATATCCACATAGGCTAAGGCCCGGCCACCCGACGCTCGCCCTCGAGCACCTCCCCCAGGACTAGCTTCAGGGTTGGACATGCTTGATTTCTGTTTCATCACAGGATTGTCAGAATGAGATGTTAAGACAGTCAGGAACATGTCCATTCATATTTACCTTCAGGGCTTTGGGCTGCTTATGAGCCAACTTGTACAAGTCATCTGAAGCCAGATGCGTTCTCTTTAGGACAAAGTCAAATGACGGTCCAATCTCTTCCAGCTCGATCCGCGGTGTCCGGCAGCCAGACTTCTTCAACAGAGACCTGAAATTACACCCATCATTATCTCAGTTCTGGATGTCGGCAGTCAAATTTTCCTCGCTAAATTATTACAGTTTCAGCACCTGTAGCTGCGCATGTAAATTTTTCCATCGATGGCAGTGAAGTGCAAAATGTGTTCTAAACCTGCCAGACGCACTGCAGGCACAGTGGGACCCCTGAAGAAGTCTGAGACAAAAGAAATAAACAGACTAATCAATTAAAACAACAACAACACAATATCAGAATCAAACCGGTTAACACTTTTAGTGTGCTGTGTGAGTACCTATTAGCAGACTCTTCAGACGTCTGTGCTCGTTATCTGTATCAAAAGCTTCCCCTGCAAACACGAGCATTGGTTTGGTTCCTTCAGGACATTTACTGGCCTAGAACAGAAAACAAAGACTTTATTTTAGGAGACTGTGATTTGTACTTTGACCAGGTTCACTCGGGTGCTTGTAGAGTGGGTATGGTAACACAAGAGATTAAAAATGATGGAAACTATTGGAGTGAAGCAGCGATAGGTCTCAAGAACACGACAGTTTGTTCCCTTATGTTGTTTCAGAGTGTTTGAACTCAAGGCTCCTCATTGGTTTGGTGAATGTACAATTATGATAGAAAGAAAGTAGAACCTCTAAGGTTTTACGTATCAGGAAATAATATCAATGATCTGGTCCAGGCTTGGTAGGTAAACAACAATCCATGAATATTACACTGTGTCACTGTTTATGTAACAAAAAGTGAAACAAATTGCAGAAGCAGTATGTGGAAAAACTAAGTACACCTTACGGTGCCATTCTACTGTCGCCTGTGTTGTGGGTGTCGCAAGCCGATTTTAATTTTACATCATGTGTTGTGTCGGCCAGTCGTGCATCTCTAGAGTTTTGCAATAGTTTTTCAATATCCCTGCTGTAATGGTCACTATGCTCACGGCCGCACCCGCGTCTTTATGTATGTGTGATAGCTGTATGGTTTAACTTTACACACAGAGATAGGTTTTGGTCTCTAGTTTACATTATGAGGAAAATAACAAGGTGATGAAATGACTGTGACCATGAGTCAAAATGACTCCCTAGCCAGACACAGCATGACTGAAATCATTACCTTAATTTCACTCAGGGAGACGTACTTCTCAATTCCAAGTTCAATCATATCAAGTACATGGAAGTCAAATAGACGACCTGCAAACAAACAAGCGAACAATTTATTTGATTGGGTCAATTCAAAATCTGAAAACCTTTCCTTTGCAGAGCATCTTCTACACTGGAATATTTTTTACTGAAAACCCGCAGACCAGTATTCACTAGCATTATGCTGATAGTCTGCTAAACATAAAACACAACGTATAACGTGAGACGAGACACTGACAGTCCAGTATCATGTAAAAACCTGAAAACAGATGTTATAGCTGCTGTATGTATATTTAAAATACAGGGGAGTGATAGAGAGAAAGTTTAAATTTACCAAATATGAAGTTGTTGGGCCGTTTCTTATTGTGGGAACCGAACAGGAACAGGGAGCAGTCTGTCTTCTTGGAAAAGAACTCCTAAAATAAATGTTAGATTATTAACAAGAAAAGCAACACTGGTGAAAACTCTGAAAAGGACCATCGCCCCTCTGCACTCACCAGTGATGTTGAGTCCTCAAACGGCCGAGTGATGTTCTTTCTAAAAAGCGTACACAGACAACATCAAGACAGAAAACAGACACTATAGGTGACTTCACTCTTAGACCAGAGTAGCTTTGTATGATCACCCACTGTCTGAAACAAGCCCTTTTAGCTCCCTTTATGCCAGCTTTTATTCTAATTGGCTGTTCCGTTTAAAAATATTAGGTTTTAGTGGATGTCTGGAGCTGCTGTGTGCCTGAGACAACCATATGAGAGAAATTCATTCTCGCTGACGTCACCTAGAGCCAAGAGTAGAACAGAAATGGTCTGAAATCAAGGATTTAGAGAAGTACCAACAAGAGAAACATACACCAGCTGAATAAAATAGGAAAAAGGCAGGCTTGGTCTTCCGTTTTAGGCTGCTCCACAGCCACTGTAATGTGATCACACAGCCACTTCTACTTAAACTCCCCGTTAAGGTACAGGTAGTTGCTGCAGTACTCTTTTGGACACTAGGTGTCACCACTCACCACATAACTGCCACACTGGCACTGACATAAGAAGAAGAAGAAGAAGAAGTAGAATTCTTTACCTCCCAGTCATAATCAGAAGCAACCAAATAGACAATTCAAAGTTTTTCATCTCAAATATCTAGAAACGACCCACACTAAGCAGATGAACTGATAAACCTGTTCCATCAAATGAAACCAGAGCATTTATTATAGGAACAAAGTGGATATGTCACTTACTTTTTGTACAGCACAGCATTGGGTTTCTTCAGGGAATACTGTGAAGGAAACAAATGTACTTGCATGAATTTACAGAAAAATTACACATGAAAAAACAAAAAAACTCAAAATGCACTGTGAGATGGAAAAATCAAAAAAATTGATCTCAGTTTGGAAAAAGTGAATGCCACAGATTCATCCAGTGAAATTAAACCGTCAGCGTGAACAGCTGCTTTAAGAACAGATGAGTAAAATATTTTTAACACACTAAATATTCACATGGATTTTACACGTCCAGTAGGCTTGGGCGATATGTAAAAAGTTATAACCGACAATCGCCAGTCCAATAATCAATGATGGGCAATATATTTGCGCATGTGCAGATTTTTTGATGGGCAGAGCAATGTAATTATGCACGGACTGATTTGTACGTTTACAACACAGAAGAACTCCAACTAATTTCCCCTCCAAAAATTAAGGCTGTCAGCGTTAATGTGGTCATCACTATTAACGCGATTAAAATTTTTTAACGCGCTCAACCCATCTGGAGCGCAGAATGAACAAACTGCCCGAAATGCATTGACAGAGACATTTCAGGGATTTTGACTCAGACTGTGCTCCAGATGGGTTAATTTTTCCTGTTGGCTGCTTCTATTAGATCCACCATTTGCAAACTTACTCAAATAAATAAATAAATTGTAAAAACGATCGACGATGGGCTTAGCCTTATGTCGATAGTCAATATATTCGGCCAGTCACCCAACCCTAACGTCCAGCCTCAAGCTGATAGGCGTCAATCTGTGTTATTGATTTTCTTTAGATCGTGGCACAATATCTTACTTCTTGAGATTTTTTTAGCCTGCTTCACTTTGTCAGATAGACTCTAAAAGTCTTGTTCTGGCTGTGATCAGGCCTGGGTGTGGTTATCTGAAATTAAACTCAGCTTTCCAAAGAACTTAATAGTATTTTCACACCTGTGCTATTTAGGCTATTTCGATCAAACTCTTGTTCATTTCCCCCCTCAGTGCAGTTCGTTGTTTGCAGATTTGGTCGTGTTATTGTTCCAAGCAAACTCCAGAATGGTTTGTTTACAGTGTGAACATGATCTGACCTCAATCTGAACCAACTACCAGGTGTATGTTACAAGTCTAAGCTTAAAAAAAAACCCCAAAAAAACCAACAAAAAAAAGTCCTGTAGCCAGGTGTGCTTTGTATTCAGCATGCAGCGAGGAACTATAGATGTGCAAAGGTCTGTACGGGCTAGCCCCTAGCAGTATTGTGTTCTCCAATAGTCTAGAGCATAGGTGTCAAACTTTGGCCCACGAAGCCATACCAAATTACTATTAGAGCTGGCCTACTGGTATTATTCAGCTAATATATATATATTGTTTAGTATTAAGCTTTGCTTGTTCCATATTCAGTTTTTCAGCAAAACTTGTTTGAGTCCATAAGAAAAGATTCATTCTTTTATCTAGAGGAAGATTTTTTTTTCAATAAATATTAATGTTAGCCCGCGACTTTGTTCCAGTTTTGAATTTTGGCCCACTGTGTATTTGAGTTTGACACCCCTGGTCTAGAACATAGCACCTTCTTCCTGCTGCCACAGACACATGTGGCCAATAAGCCGACTGAACATTCTCATGTGGTTTGTAGTAAGGCATTTGGTGCAAAAACAAACCAGATCATTGGGAATAGATCCAAGTGTAAAAACTCATCATTTACAGGTGTGAAAACACCCCAAAGTTTAAGAATTGTGGGTGGGGCTTTTTCCACATAGAGCCAGGTAGGGTTGGACAGCTTTTGTCTAATACTAAAATCTGTTTGGTGATCTGAAACATGTCAGTGTGACAAATATGCCAAACTCTATCCTTACACAGCTCCTCTGTGACTTACTATGTCCTTGAGGGCCTGCGTGACGGTCTGACTTGTGTTCCCTCCTTTCATAATCATGGCACTCTTCACATCTTCAGTCAATTTGGGTGCTCTGCTCTCCAAGAAGCGTTTTGAGCGCTTTGTCTTCGGTTTTCTGAGGAAGAAAACACAAGGGAATATAAGAAAGATGACAAACTGCACACAAGGCAAACTATCAGAAAATCAAACTGGTATTTCTGATTGGTTGATGACCTAAAAATGTACGTCAATTAGCCAATACAGATATTGTTTCTGTTCATCTTGTTTCCGATCTTCCTCTTTCTTTCAGAGACACGGGGAAATCATCTTCATAAAATAACTTCACTGTCTGAATGTCTTCTAGCTTGACAACAAACTATCTTAAAACTTAGAGCATTGTTTCAGAGAGCAGCCCTGATGTAAATCAAATCATATACTCTGCCAATACATTAACAGATGCCTAAGAATAATGCTATGTTTAGAATAGAGACTTTATGTGCACAGTGCTGAAGAAATATTAACCAAACTTGTATGCAATGCCAGTATGTACCAAACATAATGCACTGAAAGTAAGATGGTAACCTTAAAAAGTTTAGTTTCAGAAGAGAGACTGAATACAAAAACAAGACATTTAAATGAGTTTATTAATTATATTAATACGATTGCCTTAAACATAAAATACTCAAACCGAATGTAACTCAGACCGTTAGACCCTGAATTTTAGGCATAACACCACTAATCTCACAGCACATTAAAGACGAACATGAGGCTGAGAGATAGGAAAATCGATTTGATTATGCGCTTATGTAGAAATATGGGGTGTCTCCAAATCCTTTGTGGCATCTGAAGATCAGACAATGAGATGCCACAGAAACATGGCACAGTGAGATGCCACAGAAACATGGCACAGTGAGATGCCACAGAAACATGGCACAGAGACATGCCACAGTGAGAAGCCACAGAAACATGGCAAAGAGACATGCCACAGTGACATGCCACAGAAACATGACACAGTGAGACGCCACAGAGACATGCCGATTCCATGACGGAGCTAGCTGCAGTTAGCCGGCAGCTAAAGGTTAGCAGCTTTGCCATAAACAGCACATTCATAAGACGATACATAGCAACACTTCCCAGCCCCCCCAAAGCGAGAGTCCACACTTACATTACAGAATCCAACTGCGTCATTGTATATGTATTTTTATTCCTAATCGCTAACGACCACACTAATTAAGAAACACGTGAAAACGACAAGAGCGACGATTTTCTTCTTCGATCATATATAACAAAAAAACCGAACTCAAAATACTGCCATCAAGTGGTCATCTGCTGATGGCCTTTTAAACTCTGAAGGCAGATCCCATCCCCATATCTGATCAGACTGTACAAGAAGTTCAGATTGTCCTTTCTCACTCCAAAAATAAAAAATCTCCTGGAATAGAGTGCCTCTTGACTAAATTTTATACATTATTATATATTATGTTATATAATAATGTATGTTAATATAATTATATTTAAAAAAATTTAATCAGGAAAAACCTGCTGGGTTGGATTTTAGACTTTTTAACTGACAGGTCACGAAGAGTGAGAATAAATGGTGTTCTGCCTGACCCAGTGTTCTCCTCCACAGGTTCTCCCCAACGGTGCGTCTTACCGCCCTTATTATTCATTCTCTATACAAACATGAGCAGATATGCCGCCATCATTTAACTTAATAACTGTTTTTTGATTTAATTCATCTTGTCTAATTATTACCAAATGTGTTTAAATAGGTGTGTGTGTTTTGTGAAGGGATGTCAAATGCTATAATGTTTCTGTAAAGCAAATTTACCTATGGGTATAAATAAAGTAACCTTGAACCTGAATTGTTTTCTAATGAGCTAGCTTCCTTTCATTATAGGTTGATATAGAAAGTATACAAAACAGAGTTGTTTCAACAGCCTTAATCCTTAAATGTTGCTAAAACCCAATGAAGGATCTTCAGGACAATGGGCGTCCCATTTTTTTTTTTTTTTTTTTTTTACTGAATAACGATTATACATTTCTAGCATTAATTCTTGCCAAAAGTTTAAAATCTATTTTGAACTCAATTATCAATTAGACACAACCAGGCTTTATAATGCTTATCTTGGATTACCCTGAAGTTATTGAACATTCATTTTACTGTTAGATTTTTTTACAAGGCATTTGATACACCAGAGCACAGCTTTATTTTTCAGGCTCTCAATAAATTTAGATTTGGTTGTAACTTCATTGCTGCTGTGAGAACAATAAGGAACTTGTTGTTTAATTTTCCCATATCTCTTTCTCCTGGTTGGTTCACCTCTGGGCTGTCAGAAAAAAATCTTTAATAATAATCCCATTAAAGGAATTTCTTTACCTGGGCAAGAATTGATTTTAGCATAGAGCCTTCTTTTTAAAGGATGACACCCAAATTCCTTAAGCTATTAAAACAAACCATCAGGTCTCTTACTTAACATCAATAAATGTAAACTAATCACAATTAAAGACAGTTCGTTTCACATTAGGTCTTGAGATTTTTGCATAAACTACACCAAAACCCACTTAATCATCCCTTTAAAGCTTTCTGATGCAGTCAGACCGTCCTACAGGGTCTTGATGCCAAAATACTTCAAAATAAAAGCACACAGATCTCACATTTAAGTATCTTTTATTGAAGCATTAAGCTCATAGCACAGATATTTAGCACATCTTGACCATCCAGAGAACAGATAAATGAATTAGAACAGCAAAGTTGCTCATTCAGTACAACCTGCAACTGTACCCTCTCAAGCAGGAGGCTTTCCTGGCTTCCGCCTCCTTGAATTCACAAAGCAAAGTGATAACATGATCTAGTCAACTTGGAAAAGGTCATCCCTCGACTAACTTTGTTGGAACATTGTTTTCACAAAACATCTAGAACCAAAGGGCAGAAAGAAAAAAAATTAAAAATAAAATAATTGGTCCGCAGCAGAAATACAAAATATTTTGTATAAAATTCAATTACCATTAAACTGCAAAATAGAGTTCACCATATAAAAACACCAATGATCCACACCAACAAGGCTGAAATGCACTTAATCCAACAGCTAGCATACCATTTCTGTTGCTAGATGGAAATTCTTAAAAAATATAAGTCAGACTACCATTACAAGTCATTTAATCTTAAAATTGAAGAGAGAGAGAGAAAAAAAAAAAAAAAAAAAAAAAAAAAAAAAAAAAGAAGAAGCCACGTAGCCACACTAGAGGGACACTTTTCAAAATTCCTGCCCTTATATAGATAAATTTACCAAGTGCTAGCTTGACTAGCATGCTAAGTTTCTTAGATGATGTGAAGTGCTGAAATCAGAATAAAACTACTATCACATCTGCAAGATTCTAACAGCATTCTCTGGCAGGAGAAGCTAAACCTTAGCTGTAGGGTATCAAATAAAAACAAAACCACAAACAAGACTGAAACTTCTCCTGCTTTCAGCACCCGTCTGAAGCCTGAAATCTATAAGAGTTAAACAGATACATGAAATTTATAAAAAATAAAATAAAAACCAAAACAAAAAGGGGGCATAAAATACAAACAAAACCTCCTATCCAAAATGCACCAGGTTGGGGCAGTTCCAACTTTCAGCTTGTAAAACAAGAGGAAGGTGAAGCACACACACTGACAGCAGAGACAGCGCTACATTACACTGTTGAGCAACACGGCACTAGTAGTCACATGCAGTGTGTCAGGATTCCCCCTGCAAACAAAGGGCATTGACCCAAATGACAAAAAGAAAAAAGTGAGGGCACAATAAATTTCATAAAATGGCAGTTTATGTAGTGGTTATATGCGGAATGATCTGGGATCACCCTGGCATGCTCAGACTAGTGGGCCTCTTTTGTGCGCTTACATCTCTGTATGTGGCAGAAAGAGACAGGATGGATATTATGTTTGGGGGGAATGCTTTGGTGAGCAACTAAAGCAAAAAGTGTCTGATTCATTATTTCCTTTCAGAGCTGGACACAGTGCGAGTGGCCAGGAGGGCTGGCTCTCGGTGGGCTGGGGCTGAACAATGGCCGGTCAGCAGAGGGCATTGTGAGCGCGTTGTCTGGAGTCGTACATTCAGCTCAAACCTGTTCCAGGCTTTCTTTCCAGAGAAATGTACATTCGAAAGATGGCCGAGCAAGCCGCTCTGCACGGCCTGCGCTACATTCAGGTTTTTTTTTTTTTTTTTTTTCCCCAAACCCTCTGTGAATGCTGCATGACTGGGTTGAAATATCTAGACGCTTCCTACAGATGTGGGCCAATGTAAAAAGTTCAAGCTCAGATCTGAAGTGTGCAAGCTGAAAGTTTACCATTTAAAGCTGCCAAAGAACAAAACCTGACCAATAAGATGAGAACTTTTGAACCTTTAGTGCAACATCAAAGCAAGATGACATTTCAAAGACAATCCCACAATGCCCAAGCTCAGCACGACTTGAGCTGAGGTGATTTGCCTCCAAGTACCTTGAGTAAACAGGCTTTTAAAATAAACTCAGTAACAGAGTAGAGAAATAGTCATGCTAGCTAGGTGGGTGGGTGCAATTTGAAGTTTAAATCAATGGATGAGATCTAAAGTATGCTTATAAGAGGCGGACTGATCTGAGCACGTCAGGGTCCTGGTCTAGGGTGGGCGGAAGCCTTGTCTGTGGGGAATGAGGGGGGACACCTGCAGGAAGGGACCGTTGTACTGGGCACAGGTGGACAGCCTGAAATAGAGCGTGTTTAATACCTCTACATGCACTTCAAGATCACAGCAAGAGTGGGCTAGAATATCGTAACAGAGAAAAGAGCTTTCATGCAAGGGATCTAAGTCACGGGTACAACAATGCAAACAACTCAAACTGGAAGTTAAAGTAGGGGCAGCAGCGCCATCGCTGACACCAGGACAATCTGGATGGCGACAGCAGCAGCGGGGAGGGTGGGACAGGAGAGACGATGATGACAAGCTCGCTACTGGGTGGTGAAGCGCACCGCAACGTGGGAGCGCTGAGGCGCCACATTTTTTGCGCCTCTTCATCCTCGACCCTCAGCTCTGCTGCTGGTTCTGCTGGCGATTCTTGGTGTAGCTTGTGAAGACAAAATTGTAATCGTTGAACTGAGCCAACTGGCGGTCGAGGCGCTTGTAGCCCTCCATTTTTGGAGGAGTAGAAAAGACACTGCGACATTTAGAGCTCTGCAGGAGAAAAAACAAAAACAAACCACTTTATTGGCTTCCTGTTAAATCCAGAATTGAATTCAAAATCCTGCTCCTCACATACAAGGTCTTAAATAATCAGGCCCCATCTTATCTTAATGACCTTGTAGTACCATATCACCCTATTAGAGCACTTCGCTCCCGCTCTGCAGGCCTACTTGTTGTTCCTAGAGTATTTAAAAGTAGAATGGGAGGGAGAGCCTTCAGTTTTCAGGCCCCTCTTCTGTGGAACCAGCTTCCAGTTTGGATTCGGGAGACAGACACTATCTCTACTTTTAAGATTAGGCTTAAAACTTTCCTTTTTGCTAAAGCATATAGTTAGGGCTGGACCAGGTGACCCTGAATCCTCCCTTAGTTATGCTGCAATAGATGTAGGCTGCCGGGGGATTCCCATGATGCATTGAGTTTTTCCTTTCCAGTCACCTTTCTCGCTCACTATGTATTAACAGACCTCTCTGTATTGAATCATATCTGTTATTAACCTCTGTCTCTCTTCCACAGCATGTCTTTTATCCTGTCTTCCTTCTCTCACCCCAACCGGTCGCAGCAGATGGCCGCCCCTCCCTGAGCCTGGTTCTGCCGGAGGTTTCTTCCTGTTAAAAGGGAGTTTTTCCTTCCCACTGTTGCCAAAGTGCTTGCTCATAGGGGGTCATATGATTGTTGGGTTTTTCTCTGTATCTATGAAGCGCCTTGAGGCGACATTTGTTGTGATTTGGCGCTATATAAATAAAATTGAATTGAACTTTACAGGAAGCAGTTTAAAATCCCCCCCCCCCCGGGGTAGATGCAAAATTGGATTTGAAATGCACCTGATTGACAAAGAGTGTAGTCACAAATTTTCCTGGCTTGAACACCTCCACAACCTTCCTGATCAATTCATCGTATGATGTCTGGGAGAGGTTTGTTTCAAAGCTGACGTAGGAGAACTCTGGCTCTGGGGTGATGTGGATGGTCCAGTAGGTTCCCTGTGGGGAAAATGAGCAAAGTCGCATCACTGATTTGCTTGAGCGCGCGCAACTATGATGAAGAAACAAAACGCCACTCACGTCAGTCTTCATCCCGTTCATCGAGTATCCACA